CCCCCCTCTCTCTTTTTCTTTATCTCCCCTCCCTTTTTCTGTCTGTCTGTCTGTCTGTCTGTCTGTCTGTCTCCCCGCCTGTCTCTGTCCCTCTCCCCCTCCTCCCCAAACTTGTTACCCATGGTTTCATCATCATTGTTTTTCGAAAAAAAAACAACCTTTTGATTTCCTGGAAAACCCGCTACGATGAGTAAACCACCGTTTTCCCGAGAAATCTCCCAGCTCGCAGTGTGTCTGTCACGTGGTAGTATCAACGATTCTCCACTAGACACGGTCTTTCGTTGAATAATAAACGCGGAGCTTAGAACTAACTGTCAACTCCTTGATAATACATGTATTATTATTAATACGCTTCTTCCAAGCCCCGTTACCCCCGTATAGGCTTCACAACACGTGAGTAAAGAAAGACAGACAATACCGGGAATTCCCTTCCTTACTCCCACTTCCTGCGTGGGAGATCACTAGATCTACTGCACGTATCAACACGTGTGGAAGGAATCGTTTCTGTTCTTTATCATGTGTGGCGGATGTTTGTACGTGATCTTCTTGGTGATTCTACGAGAGTGTACTATTTTCTGACAAATTGTGTAGGTCTATCGCACGCGTGGCTAGATTCTAATGTTTGTTGGTTGTTCGGTTCGAGTTGAACTAACGCGCCTGCAAAACTGTATTAGATAATAATAATAATAATAATAATAATAATAATATGAGCGCGCAGGACGCGATTTGGTTTGGTTATTTTCACTTTCGTTCACACAACATGCCCTGTGGTTACCCTTTTTATAGGCGGTGGAATGCTTTCTTGAAATAGTTTTTTTTTTTAAATTACGATGAAAAATTCAGTGGTAAAATGATTCCCGTTTGCGTCTGGGCAGACGATCTTAAAGTTAAAGCCGTGTGCGTGCGTGCATAATACAGCTTTTCTAACAAATTGAGAGTACAATACAATATTTTACTGTGACAAATCTTTCATTTACCGCATAAGTGTATTGTTGTGAATAATATTCATGTAGTCCCGCGCGCGCTTGGCATGATGTTGCAATAGAATTTCAGCGGTAACAAAAAACAACTGTATCGGTATTTTCATGAGACAAATCTTTCATTTAACACGTATATATAATTGTGTTGAATAAGAAGCTTACCACAATGATCCCATCCCCACTTGCCATTTCTCCGCACATGTACTATTATCCAGCCCACTTTGAATTTAAAACAACAAAAATCAGAACAAAACATGGTGACCTCCGGTGTAGAAGACCAAGAAGGCGAAGATAAAGAAGGCCAGAGCTGCGCACTCTGTACCCTTTACTCTTGACTAAACGTCGCTACTTTACCCGCCGCGAAGACTTTGGTTAGAAGTTTCACTTTTAATCTCCTTGGTTCCCATTCAAAGCGGCCGGAGAGAGGTTGGAGCTAGGCGATCATAAATCTGACCGTCTAGGGTTGGAGTGATTCCACTTGATGGTCATTGATAGTGTTGGTGGTGGTGGACCAAGGCGCCGGGCTACTTAGTCCTTAGTCTTTCTGCACTGACCTAGACGGCCAGAGAACGTGTCAGAGAAGGTATAGAGGCACTGACCCACCGCATCGCCCGGCCCACGACGATGTTGTAATCTGTTTGCTGCACTCTTCTCCTGACCTGCTGCCGTAGGGTCTT